AATTCTACCGATGTTAGACGTGGATCGTTTGCAGATCTGTTATGCTCGTTGCTTTCACAATGCATTATAGATAGGGGCGGATAGGAAATAACAAGCCAGCTTTCACTCACGCAATGGGCGAGTGTTTATTATGATATCTATTATTGTCGTACAGATTTGGCGTCATCATTATGTCAACACATTGGCGTTTATATATTTCAACCGATCGTTATTAAATTGAAATTCAGGTCCATTGTGTGAAAAAAAACGAATGATTTAAAATAGGGATGAGTAAATTCGGCAGGGCATAAGTTTGCGTAGGTACGATGTATAGGCCTACATGCGGGTCATGCTATCTATGTTGTTTTTGTTATTGTTTTGTTTTGTTGAGTAGGTCAAAACACAAGGTTTTTTTAGCTAGTAGGTCAAAACACACGCGTGCACACACATGCGCGCGCATATATATATATATATATCGAATTATATTCATAGACGCGTGCAAGTTCACAGGCCCGCATACATACAAAATATATATTGTTATTTCTTCTCATCATTTCTTGTACGTCTGTCATACTGTAGTATTTCTAGCACTGTCAGTTTCACTTTCAGCGGTATTTAAGCCAGTTCAGTAGCAGATTTCCTTGTCGTCGTTGCTATAAACTAGCCTGTTTTCTGCTCGTGGCGGTGCCCTTTTGCTGCTTTGAGCGTATATTTTAGTTCGCGTGTGACGTCGCGCATTTTTTCCACGAGTGCCACCATTACATTGTATATGTTGTCTTTTGAGTTTGCTCGCCTAATTTCTTATATTATTGGATCTTTTTTATTATTTACATCACGTGCTTGAGTAATATTTGGAGGTATGAAATGGATGCCGAGTGCGAATATTGGTTACCGCACGGGATGTATAGTATATATTATATATATATATGTATATATATATATATTATATATCTAAATATATATATATGTTAAGTTCACGTAGGTGTTATAACAACTATTCGACATCGGGCATCTTTTTTGCATCGCTCAATTTATTTACTCAAGTTTGATGTAAAAATAATAAATGATCAAATTATAGAATTAGGCGAGACCAAAAGAAACAACAATTACATGTATTGTGCATTTATATATATATATATATATGTATAATATAATATATAATTTATAATTATTTATGTATTTTAATTAGGTTTCGAGGCGTTAAGAAAAAAGGAACGAGGGAGAGATAGGATAGATCGAGAGGGGAGACAGAGGAAAGTGAAGAGAGGAGAGCAGGAAGGGAAGAGCGCGAAGACAGTAAAAGGACGGACAAGGGGGCGGGCTGACGAGAGAGAGGAAAGAGAGAGAGAGAGAGGGAGGATTGAGAGAGAGACGAGAGAAAAGAGAGAGGAGTGAAAGAAGAGAAAGCCGAGGCGAGGACGAGGAGACGGAGAGAAATGAGTAGCGGAGAGATGGATAATGAAGAGAAACGGGGGCGAGAGAGAGAGAATGGGGCAGAGGAAAGAGAGGAGAGAGAATAGGAGGGGCGAGAGGACGGCGAGAGAAAGAGACTGAGAAATAGAGAGACACGGAGAGAGAGAGACGGGGAGAGAGATAAAGGGATGGTGCGAGCGAACCAGGCAGACAGGAGAGACGTTGCTACGACTATCTTCAATTCAGCGTGCCCGGCGAACCTCGCTTTTTCCCTAAACCTTACGCATCCACGCTCGCCTCAAGTCGCTCGACAACCGGCGCCTGTTGCTGGGGACAGTCGGTCTCTCTTTGGTGGAATTTAAAGAGCCAGAAATGCGTGTCTAATCCGTCGTCACTATGCAGTCGGCGAATAAGCGGTCGAAATCCGCCTGTGAACATCAGTCGCGCCGACGCAACGCCCAGCGAACAAAACTCGTCCGATCTGCGGACAAACGCTCTGTTTTCGTCAACAAATCCGCCCGTTTTCCTCGCGTACAAAGTGCGGCGTGCGGCCATCTGCTTTCTCAATAGCCGGGTAGCGGGGCGCCGGTTCTGTGCGAGCATCTACGCGATAGGATGCGCGGCAACTTCGGCTGCCGATTCTTTCACGCGTACGTGTTTCTTGTGCCGCATTCCACCATCGGAAATCGCGAGGGGACGCGCGCAAACGAACACAGAACAGCATAATAATACGGAACGCAATTTCAAGTGCATCGGGCTGCTCCTCGCCGCTACAACACACACGCCCGCGCAGCGCAACACACACACCACACACACACACACAACCACACAACACACACACTACACACACATCACATCCACACACAGAACACACACCACACTACCAAACACAAACCACCAACACACACAATACCACACAACACACAGCGAACCACCACACGCGCGGCGCACACACACCACACCACACACACACACAGCATACACACAAACGACACACACACCAACACACACACACAGACACCCACACACACCCACAATTACACATCACACAACCACGCGCACTGCACCACCACACACCACACACACACACCAACACACACACACACCACACACAAGCACCCCACAACATACCCACACACACACCACACACAACACACACACCACACACACAACACCACACACATACACATACACACACACACGGGAGGTAAGTCTGTATCGTGTGCATCACGCCGGGCGCGGATATATATTATGTGTATGGGATTAACCGCAGCAGCCGACGCAGCGGTCCGGCGCATAAGCGTTGATCGGTCGCGCTGGTGACATAAGCAGGTGTCATTATCTACCCGCTCATTTCGGCCATTTGTGCGGCGACTCTGACACAAAAGTGTCGCCCGCACTGTCCCCTCCCCCTCGAACGACACGCCAAAGCGACGCGCGTCGTCCCAGCGGCATTCCGGGTGAATTGACGGCCCAGCTAGTCCGATTCACATGCATATTGGGGTAAAATTACCCCGCACAATGGACAGAAATCATCGGTTGACATATGCGGCCGCGCCCGCCTTTGTCTTACGGTTGATTGTCGGGTTGTTAACACCGAGGGGACGACGCGGCGTGAATAGACAATTTATCAAAATATCGCCAGCGATTCAACGGACCTGCCGTCGTCGACTATTAGACGTAAATGGGCGAGTAAGCGAGCACGCAAGCATCCTGCCTTGTGATAATGGCTCCACTGGTTGACAACTGGTCACAATAGCCGAGTGTCTTTGTCCGCTGCCTGTCTGGACACGGTCTGACGTCGATGTGTCGTCTGCGCAGAGTGGAGTCGCAATTACTGCGCCTATGTTGGCCTGTTATATCACCTAATTAACACTAATTAAATCAATTATTCGTCCAACCTCTTCATTGCCTGAATATTTTAAGCGGTTCGATTTTAACGCGTCAATGCTGTAGATTTATTACCAGTGGGTGGGTGTGTTCGCTACCCATTTTAGATGATGTTATGTTGTTATCATGGTGTTTGGCATTAGGGATAATCCTTTCCGGTAATGCGTTTAATTAATGTGGTTAAAACAGCTTTGCTATGCGGAATATAGCCATTTCAATCATCGATGGTAGCACAGATAACATTAGTGTTACCAAAACTGACAGTGTCAACACGATGCAATATAGCAGGAGCAGCGCCGATACAATTTTAGGCAATATGAAACAGCCTTCGAAACCCGTCGATTCACATAGAAATACGTCATTTAGGGAATCCAAGATTTTGAGATCTAGCGACTTTTCAGGATTCGTGACATGATATCGGCGCTTCAGTACTAGATGTATCTACACGCGCAACTCTGGTGGACGACATTTAAATGCATTAGCGTAGGAATAGAATGATTCAGCATAATATACGCGTATCTTTCACTTGGATATGGTGGGATGAATTTTATTTACGGTTTATCATAGCCGATCGTTTACGTGCATTTAACGCACGTCACAATTTCACGGCAGGCGATTAGAGCACAACATTACAACGTTAACAGTTACGATTCGCAATTATAAATAAATGTAATATATA